TTAATAAACTCTTTAGAATTTCTTACTATCAAAAGAAAATCATAGAATAATTATTGAACTACTGACATTCAATTATTGACTTAGTCAAAGACAATGAAGTTGAGTCGATTGAAAGAAAAATAGTTTATTATGAAAAGATATTTTTCAAAAAATTATTTCATTGAAATTGAAGGTTTTTCAATAAAAATAAAATAAAATTCGTATTTGTGTACATTTGTAGAAAATAAATCATTTTAAATAACAGACTTTTTTATGTATAACTTATTCATGTTAAAATAAAACTCTGTATATCAAAAATCTTATTTCTTCTAGAGTTATCCAAATCATTTTATAAGTCTTTACAACCTACTTATATGATTCATATAAGACTACTTTTATTTTGTTTCTCTTACCAAATTATAGTTTTGTAGATAAATAAAAGTCTATTCTCTATCTCATACCAATTTCTGCAATCCAGTATATCGATCTATTCTTTTATTTTTCAAGCGTGTAACTAAAAAAACCTTGTTTGTAGGAAAATAACATAATATTATTAATCAGTCATATTGGCCTTTAAATTTTTATTATTGAAAGAATGTGTCTACATTATGGCATATTCAAGGGTATACTATTCTTTTTTTTTTTTTTGTCAATGATATGATATTATTATTATAGTGAATATTTAGTATGTTATATTTATTATTATAGCAAATTTTAATCTTTTATAACATGTTTTTCTTTATATTGGTTATATTGAATAATAAAAGAAAGTCAAACAATAATTTTTCATATAGATAAAATAGAAGAGGAGATGTTTCAAAAATATTTTTAGTAGTGATGTAGCCAGACGAAAGCTAGAAAAAGCTAAGCTCTACTACAAACGATTGAGATTCGCTTATAAAAGATCTTGAGTCTTCTCTAGTTGTGTGACTAGAGACGTCTCTAGTCTCTCTACAAACTTTAGAACTGTTCTGTTTTTATCTAGACATATGTATCAATTTCATATAATTCGATAAACATAAATTTTCTTCTGAATATTATTTAACTTTATATAATGAATGACCTTTCGTTTTATTTAGAGGAGTCTTCTCGATTACATCTCATATTTGTCATTTAAGATTTTTCTCGATTTGTCCGTAATGTATTACTAATTAAGACTATTGTAGTTGACAAGTAATACTTTGATATCATAAAGTTTTATTTGCCCATATTGAACAACTAAAGTATCTAGAATTAGACACTATTATAAATCTATTTTTACTATTTTTTAAATAAACATGTCTTTTTAGCGTCATCATATTTTATTACTAATTGAACATCGTTTGGCTTATTTTTCGTGTGCCTTTCATGGAGTATAGTCAGTTTAATATCGGTCTCATTAAAACTTGAATGACAATGAGAGACCGAAGAATAGAGAATGTATTAAGCACGAGCCATCTATACAAGGGAACAATTGGGTAAGGAATGTGCCGGGGATCAATATTTTATTCTTATTTAATAAAAAAAAACAATTTATCTGTAACAAATAACTTATCATGAGCTAAAAAACGAATGGTTAAGTTACGCATTATTGATGAATCCAGACCATCAATTTCAGTAGCAAGACGACAAGATTCAGAGTAGGTCAAGAACTTCGGATATGCATATTGAAGAAGTTATTTTACGAAGTATTTCTCAAGCAAGACAAATTATTCAAAAGATTTATCTTCAAGAAAGATTGACAATAATTGTAACGACTTCAGTGTGGTTTAAAGAGGAAGAGGAACAAGAAGCTTTACAAAGCATTATTTATCCACTTGGTATCACTACTAATCCAACGTACTTTGAATTCAATATTTCATTATCGTGCTGCAACCAATAAAACAAATAATTATCAATATGAAGCAATTTGCATTAGTAAAAATGCTACAGAAACATTGATAATTGCATTCAATAAATTTGTTCAATAAGTTGATGATCATCGAAGTTTTTACTAATAAAAAAGTTTCATTTAATCAAAGTACGTATCAAACAACTTGTGGCATTACTACTTTAGGTAGTGCTCATTTACTCGCTACAAATTATATACTAACCGTAAAATTGATATTTAAAGGTAAATTTGATCATATAAAAGATTTCGTTGAATCAGTAGATCGGATGCATACTCTTAATTTTGCAATAGCTATTGTTGAAATAGTTTACTATGAAAATGAATATGATAAAGAAAATGCTAAAATTGACTTTTGTATTATTAGTTCTGATCAAGTGCATAGACAATTATTATCAAACTATTTGGAAATAAAAGAAAAGAAAATAAAATTCGATAATAGTATGATTTCTTTGTTTATCATTTATAGAATTATGCACGATCTGGTTTTTGTAATAATAATATTTTAAAACATGTCAATAACTTATCTACAACAATGACCACATGATTTTGATATAAAACATAATGTTAACTATAATAAAACAGGTTTATGCTTAGTATATCAATGTGAAGGATATCCATATTATATATCATTTGTCTGCTATTATCATACACTTAATGTACCTAAAAAAAAATAACCTTGTGATGAATCTTGACTTGATTATTAGAATTCTCCCGATGAATGGTCTGTAGCTTTTTATGGCACTCATGCAGTAATTATGAATAATAGTATAGAAGATGGATTATCAATAAATTTATCTTGTGAATGAAGAAAGACCATAGATTGGATTTAAGTTTTCTGTGAAAATATTCAAAACTAATCATGTATTTGATGATAAACAAGACAAAATTTAGTAGGCAATCTTTTAAGATTATGAAACTTACAGTAAAAATAGATTCCGATCTTATAATGTTGACAGAGATTTGATGAAAGAAAAACTTTTGTCCAGAGATGTTTATAAGAATGAACTTTACAGAGTAAAATCCAGTCACTATCAAAAACATATTGTTTACTCAACATTTCATCGTTTAATATTTTGTTTGATAATATTTCAAGCCATATGAGAAAATTATTTAATTGAATCTAACTCATAATAAAAACAACAATTTCAAGGTCTTCTTCATTATCAAAAATAACTTTTTTACCATAAAAATTTTCATTCCCATTGTAAATATAATTATTTTAAAAAATGTCAACCTGAAATTCCCAAGTGGTACGCGATCAATTTCATTCTTGTCTTTTTTATCATAACTAATTCTTCAAGAACAAGAAGAACTTATCTTGTATTGATATGACACTATCTTTTGTTACCCACTTGTCGTCTTGTATGTCATCATAATTTATACAATACTCTATCCATCTCTGATTGTTTTATCGACAAAGAAAAAAAATCTTAGAAATTCAAAAGAATTTATTATCGAACTCAAATAAAAAGTTTAATTAACTTGATCGTACAATTTACAAAAACAATTCATTTGATTTTATTACATTTCTTGATATTCTTTCAATAAAACTTAAATAAAATGTTTTGCTCAATGATGTATAAACTTGTTGACAAACAAATTATACCTATGTTTAATGATTGTAAGCCAATAGTAACAGAAAAAAAAAGAAACGAAGATAATTAGACCAATTTAATCACGCTGAAATATAAGCCACATAGCTAATAGTATGTTGTAGTAGAATTGAGTATATCCAGATTAGTAACGAAACAGTAATTTGTCAGGAAAAAAAAACTACTTGACCTTAATTTCAACTGATTATTTAGAAAAAAACAGAAGATTTGAAAATTTGTAGTTCTTCTAAATAAATAGATTGTTTGATTGAATTACATATTAAATATATTTCGACGTGTCTTCTTTTTCCATGGCAGAAATTGTTTCTCTCTTTCTCACACAAACTTTTTTGTTTATTTGTCTGATTAAAATAAAAGTCTCGTATCAACGATAAATGAATATGTATACTTGTCTAGACAATCAATACATAAAATTGGATTGTAATAGATGACTTACTCAAATCATTTTTTTTTCCAGGGATATCATATATACAAAACCTATCGATACCTTTTTTTTTTTTGTATATAGTAATTTTTCTTTTTCTTTATCGTTCTCATTTCGTTTCTATATATACGATTCGATGGACCAAAAAATAGATCCGCCCGGGCCTTTGTGGTTGATTGTAATATGAAAAAAAAAACGAAATAGGTAACCAACAAAGTTGGCGGCTTCTTCTTCCTTCTTCCCTCTCGCTTCTTCTTCGCCTCGGTTTTTTTGTGCGTATCTGTATTGAATGAAATACGGCTTCATTCGCACACACGCATACTCTTAAATCAAGTGGTGCATTGAAAAGTTTATAAGCAAAAAGAAACACAACGTAAACGATACAGACAAATAAGAATAAGAGAGCGAGAGAAAAACCTATAATAGGTGTGTGCAAACATTCACAAACATTCATAATCCGCTTCCATATTACGACAACTACGTAAAAAATACGTCAATAATTATATCAACAACAACATTTAATCGTTTAATACAGGTAGGACATAAGGACATATTAAGTATACTACTTATATGCATCAAGTTTTATGTAGTGATTTATGTCTCTATTTCCATTGTAAAAAGAAAAGGATGCCGATACTTGACTAAAACTAATGACTAGATATATGATGTAATTTATACTAGGCTTTTAAACTTAGTAGGTTTTAATTGGTTGATGTATGTTCTTTTTTCACATGCCTGCTTTATCTTATCGTGTTTCAATGAAAGGAAAGAGAGAGAGAGAGAGGGAGACGGAGACGGAGACAGAAAGGGTCAATGACGCCAATCGTATCGATCGATATCGGACAGCTAGGTAATAAAAAACGATAATGGAACTCTATCTATTGTTCATATTTGTGTATTTAACTTTACTCTAGTTGTATATGTGTGTTGCATTGCCCGTCTCTCTTCCATTCTCTTCTCTTCATTACTTTATTTATCCTGCTCTATCTTTTATCCTAACATTCACTTTAAAAGTACAGAGTAAAGAAGAGCAATGAGTAGTATATATACATTGAGTAAAGAAGACGTTGAATTTACTCATAAAATTGAACAAAATAACTCCAATATGAAGTCGATGAATGATGATCAACAACAATGGACATCAACGTTCGAACGGTTGTTTAATTCATATCAACGTTATAATGAACTTCGACGAAAGGACGATGCTATCAAGTAATTATTTTCGATAAAACAAAAAGAAAAAAAAAAACTCTTTCTTTAGAGCATGAAATAATATGTAAGTTAAGGGCAGACACATATTCGACCTTTTTTTAGGATGTATGTTAAGGAATGAAATTCTTCTTCTCTTCCTTCTCTTTTATGAGTGAGTTCATCACATACATATATGAAAGACGAATGAGAAATGATGATAAATTGAGTTCACACTTAAACTGATCGAAGGCCATTCATTTTCAATGGTGTCCAATTTCGAGATTTGAATGTCTTCTCACAAAATGTAATCTAATCCAAACTACTTGCACATTTCTTCATCATCTTTATTTTGTGTGAGCATCATAAAACGAGACAGAGATTTGGACATCTTATTTTATTCAAAGACCTTGTTTTAAGCTCAGTCAACCACA